TTTTTTTAAGTTAATTTGTATTTTGTGATAAGTTTTAATTATTTATGGTGAAAAATAAGTAATTATAATTTTATATAAAACTTAAGCGTAAAAAGAGGTTTACTCTTTTATTCATATTCAAAAAGCTTTTTCATTTCTTTAGATTAATAATAATACTAACAATTTGGTCATAAAGTGTATTGACTAACCTAACTTTCTTTCTAACTACCATTATTATTATTATTATTATTATTATGAGATTTTTTAATTTGTACTTTTTGAAAATGTAAAAAATATACTTTTTTTTATATATTTTAATGTTTTTATTAGTTAAATTATCAAAAAAAAATTTTATTACCAATGTAATAATGTGAATTATTTTAATTAATTAATTATTAATTTTTATTTTTAATTTCAATTTTTTTGAAAGTTGGGTTCACTTTATCTAATTTGAGATTTGTGTGAATGAATCATGAGTTTACTTTTTTAACCTAAAACTTAAAACAACCAAATTTAAAATTCGAGATGACTCAATCCAAACTCATCAAATTTGATTTGTTTGTCAAATTTAACTTTTATTATCTATGATGATAATTCATGATGGTAAGAAATTGCCATGCTAGTACTGACATGGCAATGGGTAACGTAATTTTAACGAGCACATGATATTACCATCCATTTTTGGTTTTTTCTTTTAAGTTGAAAAAAAAGACATTAAAACTTTTATATTATATGTTGGGGGATTTGATACTTTCACAGTTAGCAAGGTGAGGAGCTAAAACTTTCATATTGTAAGTTGAAGGATTAAGACTTTCATAGTTAGTAAGGTGGAGGGCTGGCCAAGGATTTTCACCCAAGATTAATAACTTTCGAGATAACAATTTATTCCAACAGCTGGGAACCAAAGTTAGTAAGGCCTAAGATCCAGTCAATCATCACAAGCAGGGCGGCAAGCGGCATCGCTTGGAAAGTCTGTTTGTCGGTTAGGGGGCAGCTTTACAACAAAGAGAGTATATAGTTGGGTCAAAAAATAATGTAGTTCTTTTTATTATTATTATTATTATTATTATTATTATTATTATTATTAACTTTGGCAAATGCTACTTAAAATGAAGGATAAGAAGATAACTATTAATAAGCCATATTGCCTGCCTTTAATTAATGGAGTGCCCAAGCTATTATACATTAATGAAGAAGATGACGGTAAATTGTTTCTTTTTTTAT